TTTTTTTTACCTTATAATTTTGGTTTGTATTGAATGACATTTTCAAATGTATATGACTTTTATGTTTTAATATATTTATATATAGATTAAATTTTTTTAATATTATTTAATTAAATATTAATAAACAATTTTACTATTGCGACGTCAACAATGAACGACTGCCCTAGCTCACTTAGTTTACTGGATCCACCACTGATCCCATGTATAGCTGATTCCAAATACTTAGGGTACCACATTTTTTTTCTTAAAAATAAAAAAAGTTTGTGCATTGGACAATCCTAATTTTGAAGTTTGAGCATTCTTTTCAATTCTTCTTTATGTAAATTGAATTTTAATCAATCTATTAACTAGATCAAGGTTTTAGATGATGACATGTCTTCTATTATGATATCAAAGAATGGTGGTGCATTACCTGTTCATTCCAATAAGGAAGACAAATTTTCTTACTTCAGGATCTCAATTCTTACATGAGGAAATAATTTCCATCTCTCAGATTTAGAAGAAAAAATTCCAAATCGAGCATTTCTCCCTCAAGAAGTAGCATCAAAGATTTCTATTAGCAGAAAAAGCATAAAAAAACTATTTCCTAAGTCCTTTGAACTGTCAAAAAATTCTATGGAAACAACACTTTCTTATTGCAATGCAGAAGCTATGAAGGGAGAAATCAAGAATTGCCCAAAATCCCTTGAAGAAATGATTAGTTTCTCAAAGTTTACCTTAGGCAAAAAAAAGTTACTTGCAATGGCTTCACAACGCACAAAAAAAGGTGACTTCCAGATAAGAACGATCAAAAAATTTGATAGAAAGAAAGTAGTGGCCTGCGATGAAGTTTATCTTCCCTTTGCAGCCTATTTCTGCCATTCAATCTCTTCAACTCAAATCTATGCTGTAGACTTGGTTGAACCCGAGACTCGACTCCCAGTTAGCACTGTGATTGCGATGTGTCATATGGATACCTCAGGTTGGCCTGCAAATCATGTGGCTTTTAAGATTCTGTAATTCTCCCCTGGAGAAGGCGAGGCATGTCACTGGATGTCGAACATTGATCTTGCTTGGATTGCCGTTGACTAGACGGTATGAAATTGGAATGTGTGTCCTCGATCTGCAGCAATGAAGTAGACGTAATTCTTGATCAGTAGAGGAAACTAGGTCAACGTGGCTTGTAAATTAAGATTGTATAGAAGCTTGAGTTCAGTAGGTTTGTGCAAGGACGACATCTTTGTTATCATCGGATTATATAATAAATTTATGGGCAGAGGTGATCTATAAGTGTACCTTTTTCATTGCTACTCTGCAATGTTGATAAATTTAGAGTTCAAATCCTATAGATTTGAAATATGTTTTCAAATATAATTATTGTATTTACATTCAAATATGGAAACGAAGATGTTCCACCCATAGTCCGTGAATTCCACATATCTTATTCATTCAAATATGGAAACGGAGATGTTCCACCCGTAGTCTGCGAATTACATTTATCTTGGCAATTAAAAGTAGTCTTTGGAAGTGATTATTACGTGCTTCATACTTAATCACACTTGTTTATTGAATATTTTAGTAGAAAATTGATATTGGAAGAGAACGGATGAAAAGAAGTGATAATTTTTCAAAAATGAGTAAAGTTGGAAATGTTTTAGAAGTTGGGACCAAGGAATCAAGTTTGGAAGTTGAAAGACTTTATCTGCAATATATAAGGATTCAATCTGAACAAAAAACGAACAGATGGACCAATTTAAACAACTGAAAGAATAATTTTCAGCAATTTAAAATATC